AGTAAGCGAAATAATTACGTTTACTTTATTTATACTTATATATAAGTATAAATAAAGATGTTTAACATAACGGCTTACGGTGACAAAATCAGAGTAACCGTCAAGTTCAATTAATAATAATGGTAATCAAATTTAATCACGATAAGTATATCGAGAGCCTTCAAAACTCTAAAAATGTATTAAATTTCAGCATTCGATGACGATGATCTTTTGGCACAAGCAGCTAGTTTCTTCTTATTTGGTTTTGAAACCTGCTCAACGACTATATACGGCCTTCGCGTTGTATCAACTCGCGGTTCAACCTGAGATTAAAAAAACTGCGAAAAGAACTTCTCAAAGCACTCGAAAAATCTAATGGAAAAATTACATATGACATGGTATGTGACTATCATCCACTATTTTTCTCTCGTAAATTTTTTATTTTATCTTTATAAATTATTTTTAGTAATATATATTTTTAAATATAATTTTACACATATTCAAATTTATAATGCAAAAACAATATATTTTAAGTCAGAGAAAGTGAACTAAAAATTAAGAGAAAACCTTAAAATTTGATTATGTGCAATTCTAATTTAAATAAAAAATTATTTTTATGCATTGTTTATTATTACTAGATACAAACGTCATTACCGTATCTCGATATGGTGGGTATCAGAAACTTTGAGAATGTACGCCATTGGGGTTCCTAAATCGCATAGCTATGAAAAATTATAAAGGAGTACGATCTTGTAATTGAGGAGGATATACCGGTTTACATCTCGATACTTGGCCTACACTATGATTCGGAATATTTCCCCAATCCCGATATATTCGATCCAGAGCGATTTAAGAAAAGGAACAAACGTGAGAGACCGTCAGGCGTCTATTTACCATTCGGAGGAGGCTCACATGAGTGTATGGTAAGAAAATCAATTTTAATATAGCTCTTTATATATTAAGATAGTAATATACATTTCTTTAATTCTTCTTCGTTAAAATAATATATAATATTATACTGTTATATGTTCTGTAGGTCAACGCTTCGGGCTTTTACAAATAAAGTTAGCACTATGCTTATGATCTTGAGCAAATACGAAGTGGAATCGTGCAAGGAAACTTCGGTAAAAATTGATCCAAGGATACCCATGACATGACATTGCCGTTAAACAATGTATTATATCTCAGTGTCCGAAAACTTAATACTAATGTTATTTAAAACTTGATGGAATACTTTTTTAGACAAAGTATGTACTATTATTTTTTTATGGACTCAAGCAGCGTTTTGATAAAAAATCTGCGATCGAATGTAAAAATTAATAGAAATAAATATGTTGTGCTAGATATTTTATTCTTTGCGTTCTAAAATAATTTATAAAATCAACCATTGTACGTTATCAATAACGAATCCTGAAATTAATAACTCGAATCGTATCTCAAAACAAAGATTATCTAAGTTTCTAATTTAAATTGCACGTACAAATATAACATTATAAATATTAGATAAATTTATTTTTAATATATTCATATAGGTATATTACTGCATGCAAAATTGAATATCAATATAATTGTATTATACGATCAATTCTAAAATAATTTAAAAAGTTCAGCGTTTCTCAGACAAAATATTTACAATCTCACGTCATATATTACTTGACTGGTATAAAGTCAATTTCTCAATCAAAAATAGATGGATAGGCTACAAAAAATTAGGGTAAAATCGATTAAAATAAACTTTAGTAATTAATAACCATTATATCGCGTTTTCTATAAAATAAATTGCATAATAAAACCAAAATATTTTTTATTCTTTTTATTATACATATATCTATATATTGCTTTCTTGCATCGATTTAATATTTAATCTTGGCTAAGTATATGGGAATAGAAGGGTATATAAATTAACATAAATTCTAACTAATTAATAATTTTTCCCTATTTACAGACAGTTTTATTTATAACACAATATCTTACTCTTTTCTCTTATGTTCAAGAAAAATAATACAAAAATAATTTTATAAAAGATGTAAATAAAAATTGTATATTTTCAAAATCATTACTTTAATTGCGTGATAGTATTACTTTACTTCTTATTTGTTTGTGTTTCTCAAAAATATTTATTACTCTAATTGTAAGTAGAATATTGATCTTATACGTAACAAAATTTTGAAAATTTAATTTACTGTGTAATTTACTAATTTAAATTCGCGAAATAAAATTCTGATTTAATATAATATTTTATTTAAGATTTAAAATTTTATTTAAAAATTATTTATACAGAACGCGAAGGTTTATCAACGTAATTCAACGATAATGAGCTCTGTGCGAGCTCTATGCGTGCGAAGTGTGCGAGTATTTCCTCAAGCACAATCGCATAATACATCATTAAATAAACGTACGTAAAAGTGACCAAGATTAAATATTTGCCATAATTAATTTTAGCCCATCCATTTTAAGGCAACGTATCTACGAGATATAATAAATTTATACTATATAATCTATTGTCATAATTCGACATGTACCGAGATATATTTGCTCTGTCTTTGATTAATCGTAGATTCGTTGCCTAAGTAAAAAAAAAATTCTGACTCACCAATTAACCTGATGCGCAACAGGCGGAGTTATTCACGTAGCTACGATACTGTAACATACAAACATATAAAATTCAAATTAAAGAAGCGTTCAAAATGATCAATATTTCAAAAGATAATTCTTACGTGCCTCTAATTTGTCTTTCAATAAAACTATTTACTAATACAATTATCTATCTACCGAAAAAGATCTTTACAAGAGTAAAATTTTAGATAATTTCTCTTTTTCTAATTATTTTTAACTTATCGAGATAAAACAATCTAAATAAATGGAAAATAATTATTAATGATGAGAAATGATACTCACCCCAAGGTTGCTCCGTCGGTGCCCGATGTCTCTCTCAGACCTCCTCCTCCTCTCAGGACGTCAGGCTTCCCCTCCTCTCACCGCACAGGACACTCGCGAGATACACTCGCGGATATTAAACTACAATCGCGCACGGACTAATTATCAATAAAACTCTTTCTCTCGCGCGATACTGTACGGCACTCCCGTTTAAAAAAGTCCTTTAGTCCGATTACTTGAACGGCACTTCCGAAGCAAACGCGACGACGACGAAATGTTCCAAGGTGTCGGCAACTTGGCGCGATACTATGCAAGTCGAGCGGACGGTTAACAAAGGCACGCACTTGGTTAATCGAAGATACGCTATTGAAATTAAATATCACAGCACGTACGGTATCTCGCGATAGTAAAACCGCATTATTAATATGAACAACGAAGAATCGTGACGGCCGGCCGCTAATTTACGCGACGCGAGATATACGTACGAAGATTATGACGAAGCGTTCACGAAACGGGCACGATGTATCACGGCGTTCCGTTACTCGAATCACTCGATATACGACACTGTCACTCAGCCCTCTTTTTCCCTACGGAGAGAATCGGGGATAAATCACACGACACGACAATTCCGGCACGCAGCGTTCGAAGCACGACGCGAGATAAATGAATGCGCACATTCGCGATTCGCGAGTCCAGACATGGCGGGACGAGCGACTATCACCCGCGAATGTCACAGCGAAACTGCACCATCGTTCATGCAATTGCCGTTTACGTACCTTCGCGTACCTCGACGTCTCGAGTGAGCGCGTCGCGCGACACGTTATTCATTCCGACAGACACCTCTTATACACTCGTAAATTGTTGAACACACACGGCGCGTACTCGCGTAGCAATTATTCTCGCGGTCCGCGAAACGAGGAAGCAGGCATGCCAATCACCGAAATGAGCGCGTTCAGAAAACAGCACGAAGCACGGTGACGTCGGTGACGAGCGCGCGCGGAGCACAAACACTTCCTACCTGTGCGAAATTCCTCGGGAGAATAACTGAGTCACTCACGCAGGTAACACTACTCCGAGCGTTGATGGAAACAAGTGGCAACTGGCAAGTCCGCTCATCGCCAGAAACAACGTCGAAAACGCGCCGATCTTCGAGGTATACGGAGCTTTCGAGTTTAACGGTCGCGCCGCTAGTACGGACTGCGCAGGTGCCTACACTGCCTACTACGTCACCGTATCGATCCGCCGCGCCGGCGGCGCGGAGCGGCGGAACGTGATTGGCCAGATCCGGGAGCTCGCGGCTCGCCCGACTGTGCGGCGGCTCGGCGCGCGCGCGCGCGCAAACGGCGCAACTTCCCCCGCATTCACTCAAGTAATACGTACGTGACACGTTCAAAACGTCGGATCGCGAGACGTTGTCGGTCGTGTACGTCCTTTCTCGTGAATGAAAAGAAATTCGGTTACGGGGTGTTGCAAGCTGAACGTACGCCGAATATTTCGTTCCTTCTTGGTGTCGACTGAAACGAGGGAGATGCCGTCGCTAGACGAAATGAACGTCGAATGCCGTGTGCTGTGGACGCCGTACATATCACCCTGCCGGCTGTGATTTGGCGGGTTTCCTGCAGTGCGCCGTGATTGAACTTAAAGTCGACTTTTTGCTCTTAGGGATTCTCTGTTGCTTATTTCCTAAATATTATTCGTTTTGCTTACAAAATTTTCCATAAAGGTCTATTGTCTCGTATTCGAATTTTTTAATTGATAGAAAATACGTATCTTTTATTTAAAATATAACTCAGACAGCACACATGTCCAAAAGCGGGACATAAGACATTTTTTAGATGATTTTTAGATGATCTTACGAAAAGATGGCTAAAAGACGTTTTATGTTTTGATTTTGATGGACATTGTGCTGTCTGGGGAGTGTGAAAGTGATAAAGAAGAGAAAAAGTGAGAGAGGGAGAGAGGCGGGCTATTCGATATTTTTCATATAATATAAATATTTTAATAAGTTAATATTTATCGATACATGTAAGATATAAATATTAAACTGATCCTCAATCAATTACAATCGAGAATCCTCGAGAACGAATAGACTGCCATTGTAAAACATCTCTCGGCGGGTGGCGCCATCCTGCCTCCTGCCCTGAAAGCCGAAAGTGCCGAAGTCCGAACGCGATCAGCTGATATCGCACGCGTCGCGTCGTGACTCCCCGCGCGAGTTGCGCGTAATTTATTATTATAAACGTTATTTTGTCGCGGTCCACATCGATCCGTGATCGGTCGGTTGCGGGAAATCGTGCGCGTCGCTACGTATTTCACCTCTGCCTCGAGCGGCAGCGATAAGACGGGCCTTCGAAACGCGACAGCCTTCACGGGATTTGCGACGCTGCGAGGTTATTATGTTCGACAAGTATCATCTCCGGTGTTCCTCGTCTTCGGGGACGCGACGAGAATCAACGGAGTGCTGAATCGAGACCCTTTGATGTCTACGAAGTCGCAGCAGCGTCAGTGAAATACCGTCGGCGAGGAACAAAAAATGTGAGTAACGTTATCTTTTATCTCGTTTTCACGACCATCGACGTTTATCAAGCACAATCGCAGACGTAAACACATTCTAGTATTGTAAGGATTTGACGTGACGGAAGAGTTTCGTGCAGATTCCTGCAGCGAAATCTTCCTCTTCTTTAATGGAGCAAGTGGCACCAGGTCGCCTCGCCATCGGTTGATTATAGATTATACAGTCCTCTTCTAAATGTTAAATTAAAAATGGGAGTTGACAAGTGTTGGTGTGTCGATGCGTTGAAAAATGCGAATTCTCGCTCTCTCTTGAATTTTTCTATTCCAAATCGGTGACTATATTAGACTTGCATATGATGCATATGATTTTGCTTTCGATCGAGCTTTCGATAGATGTTAGTACATATTGATATCTCTTCAGCTTCTTCCTCGTTCCGCAGAAACGACTCATCTGTACAGTTATTAGGGTTTAACGAGTCTATATGGAGCGAAGCTCTGGAGAATTAGATTGGAAAGAATACAAGCTAAATAGAAGAATAATAAGAATCTAATTTAAGAGTAATGAGAAAAATAAGATCCAAATGTGCACTTGATAAGTAGAGGAGAATAGCAAAAGCTGAAGTTAAAATAAATTTTTTTATTTATATCACTTAATTAAAAAAAAGTCTTTGTAAAGAACTAGCTAGTCCCTCATAGGAATGAAAACCTTGTATTTGCCGGAGAATTCTACCTGCAAGTTTTATCTTAAGAAATGCGATGTGAAATGCGAACACTTTGTCAAGCATTGAAATGTCTGTTTATGTCAAGATATGTTATTTCCCGTTTATTTCCTAGTAACTCTGCTCGCTAAGCTGTATCGACATGGCAAAACTTTTATCTCGTTTATGGTATCGCTGCATTATGCATAAAAGTACACTTGATTCCGCAATAAGTGTATCAGACAGCGACGATATCATATTCTGATATCTCCGTCCTTTCTATGCAAAATCCTGTCGTAATAAGTAACGAGAGACACCGATAACTTTACCTTATCGTTTCAATTATTCAGAACGCTTCGAGCGAAAAGAAAAATATAACTCTTTTTTGCTTTCCCCTATTATATCAATTATTTCTGATGGAATGAAGATAAACTGGAATAACCACAAGATTACTTTAAGCATGATCTTTTTAATAAATCCTTTGATTCAAATTTTTGACGCCATTCGTAAATCGTATTTGATATTAAAAGACTAATAATTTGCAATAAGAAAATAATTAATTTTTGTCGACGGAAATTAGGTGTACAACAATTATTGGACGAGAGAAAATATGTGATATTGTATTCTTTTATATCAGGAAAATTTGATTACTTGCTCATTTTATCTATATTATATAAAATAAAAATATGCATAATTGCAAAAAATATTTGAAGGTCGCTTGAAATATTACTTAAAATTAATAGGATTTAGCTAGTCTTTCTCTCTTGCTTGTTTTTGAGAAAATTACGTTGTGGAACGCGAACGAAACGTCTCGTAGTCGACGTCTCAATTTGTACACTTAGCCGCAAATTTACTTTCCGTATCATTTAACAAGCTCGCGGCCAATTAACGTAACATGTGGGCCACGCGGCGCGCTAACAAAGTTTGCGTCCTCGCGGCAGGGCTCGCTTATCTCTCCTGATTATACATTTGCGGAAATATTCTTTTGTTATCCGATAGAATGGTATATAATTCATTCATATTTTTACATTTGCTGCCGTAAAAACACTTACATCGCTGCCGCGACGTGCTATCGCGGACGTTTGCTAGCGTAGAGTGGCGTAACTATCTGGGACCCTGACTGATAACGCTCGGCATAATCCACGCCGTATTAGCTGTATATATGTATACCTCTCTCATAAAGCGAGTCCAACTGCTCCAATCCGCACTACGTGCGCGGATTCGTGACTGGGAAAAGTTTGCGGGAGCCGGCGCGCCCGTGTACACACGGCTTAGGCGTATTTTGCATAATGCGATTTTCATGCCTCCGATTCCGCATTTGGGATTGTATACCTAGCCCCGCGACATATCTCCCGTGTATATAGCAATCGCGCGCAGAGACGGATTTAACACGTCCTCTGTTTATCAATCCATCTCCGTCTGAAAGTTCCCCTCCCCTCGTTTTCCCGCACATCATCCGCTTTTGATTTACACTTTTTTTTATTCCTACTTCTGGCTAATTTTTGAAAAGTGTTTCAGCAAAATCTGTCACGCACAACAGTTTCTCGTTTAATTTTCTATCTTTATCTATTTTTTTTTCTCCGTTTATTGAAACATTTCGATTAACTCGGCTCAACTTGAAAATTTTTAATCGCAGACGAATAGAATCGAAAATTCGCTTCCACGCTTCCGCTTCCTTCGAAATCGTTTTGCTAACTTTGTTTGGAGTAGAATTGACTCGGAAAGGAAAAGGGAGCGGTTTCTCTTTCGATCGTGTAATGCACGCACACATACGTTCCGTGTTCTGCATTTTTAATTTCCCTCCATTTTACCTTTCTCAGTCCTGCTCGGTATATCTCCATTTTACCGGGCGTGTAACTTATGGCCGCGGCCTCCGTATCTGCTAAAAATACAACTTCCTTGACACGGGTGCGGCGTTATCTCGCCGATTCTCACGTGCGTAAACCCGGCGCCCTGCCGTAATGAAAGCCACGTGCTGGCCGCGCACCGAAATTAGAACCGTTTGACCACCTAAGCGGACCTTTCCTCGTTATAAACGCAGATAGACGCGTCTTGAAGAATCTGTGAGCTATTGTGAATTATTATCGAAACTCCCCGCCGAGCGATGCTGAAGCAGAGCTTGGGCTAAACGAGAATTGATTTACACCTTTGAAATTATTTTAAATACGTTTAATCGGCCTAGAGAAGGTAACGACTGAATTAATCTTATGATTTAATCTTTATTGCATTCTTTTGAAAATTTACTATCAGTAAGATTTATATTTTCGTGGTTCACGGATAAACGTTATGATATACTGGTGCACGAAGAATTGAATGGTATCGATTAAATTCCGATCTCTGTTAAATTCCAGCATCCCTCTGCGCCGCACACCTGCGACTGAACTGTGTCGCGTTGCACAGAACGTTGGCAATAGCAGCTCCATTGTCCGCCTCTCCCGCGTATCTGTCTGTTCTTAATAAGCGAATGTGGGACATTTGGCGGCTGTTATTGGCCAACTCAGCCAGCCTACGTACGCGACTGTCAGGAAAACCCGTCGAAAGGAAAACGGCATGACTCCGGACGTCGGCGACGCCTCCGTTGGACCGCGTCGACGTCTTTCGACGTCGTAGCTTTTCTGACCCGAGACGCCTAGACGCATTGCCTCGGTGTTTCCTTGCCAGGGAAACGCCGCAATACCGTCTTACCGCGTCGTCTACGTTGCGACAGGTTTTTCATCTTGTCCCGCCTCCTTCCCTCCCGGCAACTATTCTTTCTAATGACCTCGACGCAATTCTTCGAGTTCACTTTCGCCGGACGTTCATAACAATGTCTGTCTTCGCTTTAAAAGATTTATTATTCAATTACTTAGCCATGCAAGACTGTCACATACACAGATATCCTTGGCGGATTCTCAGACCGATTGCAGATTGATTTTTCTTCAACGAGAATGTAAAAGGCATCCGCGTTTTTAATTAATAAATGAAAATGCTATGAAATAAAATGTTTACGGAATTATTTATAATTTGTGTCATTTTTTTTTCAATTTTTGAACGACTTGACAAACCGCCTTTGCAGTGTGCGTCGCAAATTGTGCATTCCGCTGCAGCTTACGAATTGCAGGTCATATTGCCGTACGTTTCTCTCTTGCCTCGCGAATATAAAGACGACTGAATTTAAGGGAACATTTGACATCAAGCTTCACAAATGTCTATTTCGTAGAAAACACTATCTGTGAGAAAATTAATTAACGGATAACGGATATTTCACAGAATTATCATTTACAGAAGTTTATTAATCATTTTGTGAATTTTTCCCCTTTATATCTTGAACTTGGAGAAACGTATTTTTCAGAAAACACGTAAAATTAACAATCACACGGCATAACGTGTGGTATAAATTATTAATTTATTCATGAACTTTTTTGGCATTTCTCATTTCTCGTATGGATATCCTTTTCTCAAATCTTATTAGATTCACGCACACAAATCGAGTCGTGAAATATTGATTCCATATATGATATGAACCGTCGATATACTTGACGCGATACCTGGCGTTCATGCCTCGATCGCAGACTCCGTTAAATCGAATAGGTAAGCGCGCGTCTTTATACGCCTGTCTGCGCCCGCCTGTCTTCTCCGGGCAACATTTGCGTAAGTACAAATAATAGTATCGCTGCTGCGCATCTTACGTCAGCCGCACATGGCGCGAGAGATGCACGCTCTAGAGATGAGAGATATTTCGAGTACGCGTAATCGGAACGGCGCGGAACGGAGATCTAATCGCGAGCCAACATACACACGGGTTTGCCCCGGGCGAGTTTATAGTTAATTAATAACGAGCGAGCCCCCTCCCCTCGTTTTCGACTTAACATTCCGTTTGCAGAAACGGATGAGCTAACGGCTCCTATAAGCATTGCCATTGTTTTATCCTTAGTTCGTCGACTTGCACGTCTGCTTGTAAATATTTAAAAAATAAATCTTTAATACGTGATGTAACAAAGAACATTCTCTTAAGAATACTCGATGGGAAAGTCGAACCATATCTCGAATCGAGACGTGTATTATGATCGTTCCAGGGGAAGTTTATATTTGTCGTAGCGCCTAGAGGCCATCGGCTTCATCCGCGAAGTGAAACCGCGAATGCCACTGCCACCGTGGATTCTATTTGTGTCAAACAATATAAAGTAGAGACGTATGTGCCCGCAGCCTCACTGCGGTTACATAAGCACCGATGAGGGGAGGGGAAAACGTGCAGAAACGCGAGCGCATCGTCGCCGCTGCCGCGGGGAGATCGGCCGCATCGCCTTGTGCTTTCACGAAATTGAATTTGCACCCGAGAGTGCACATCGGATTATACGTCTCGAATTTGATATAGAATATCACATGTCTCGAAAACCGCACGTGTCGCGTCTCTCAATCTTTAACACGGGAAAACCGATGAGCGTTCAATTGTTAGCCTTGCTCCGATCTTTGGCGATCTTTGAAATGCGACACCATTAATTAATAGAGTTTTGTATAAGCGTCATTATATTTATATATCGCTGTTTTTAATATTATGTTGTTTAGCTTTGTTATTATCTCATCAATTATTTTCTTATGAAAAAAATATAAGATCTTTTTTTTGTAGATAATTCTAAATATCTATTTCTCAGCTTTGACATATTGGTTTCTCGAATAAATAAATTGTTGCAAAATTATCTCGCTCTTTTCCTCGGGCGAATTCGCTCGAAACAGTGTCATTGACCGTTGAAAATTCGATTTTGTTATAATTATACGACGGGACTGATTCGACGCGCCGCGACGTATAAATATCTTTCCGAATCCCGATGAATCCCGCAAATAATTAAAAAGCTGAGAGCGGGGACGAGAGTTTAATGGACGTGGATCAGCCAGGCATGTAGTGACGTTTTGACACGTGGCTCGGCAGGAAAAATCGTTAATGGAGCCAGAAACCCGAGCCATCTGTGCGATAATACAGCGGAGAGACGTGAAGGATCTCCTAAATGTATGGAATACGCTTAGTGCTTCTTTCGGTATCGTCTTTCCGACGAACAATTCCGTCCCGCGTTTACCCTTTCGTGAAAGTGGAGAAGCGATCATTATCGTCAATATTGTTTTCAGTATTTATAAGATGGCTTGCCACATAAACGTTGCACAAGGAGAGAGAATAACGTCTAAGCGAATCGTGCGAGTAACTTAGTTTCAGCGAGCAACGGTAAAACCGATTTTCCAAGGCTTATCCCGCCTCGGCGATATACTCGGCGAGGAAATTGAATTCCGCTCGTATTAGCGAGGTCCATGTAAGTCGGAAATGGTAACTGCTGATTGCTCGTAACTTATTCCGAGGGTGCAGTTTTTTCTCCTCTTTTGTAGGCAATCTCCCACGACGCGTATCTCCATTTTTATAGGAACAATTGAAATTCATAGTTCTATGTGCGAATTTCATATTTTACCGTTACTTTTAAGGAGGTTGTAAGGAGAATCAGAAATGTTAAGTATATTGCACAACATTTAAAACAAGCTCAAGATATTATAAATAATATCAGCATGTGAATTTTTTTCTATTTTTTCACCGGTTAGTTTTTGAAAACATTTATAACGAAGTTACAACAAAGTAATATTGCAAAAAAAAACCATGTGGTCATATTTTCAAATCTTTAAAGGTACTTTTAATATGATATTCTTTAATGTTTTCAAAAACTAATCAGTGAAATAATCTAAAAAAATTTATATGCTAATAATAAAAGACGTTATGTTTTAAATTGTGTGCAATTCTTAACACTTCTGATTTTCCTTACAATCTCCTTAAATTAGATACGTCGGTTTTGCTTAAATTAATAATATTACGAAGGAAACATAGCGCTTTTTTACGCGCACATGTTTGTACCTATATTCATTTGTTCCGGCTGTCACAATTTTGGCTTTCTTCCAAATCTCCTCACTGAGCGAAGAATTATTGGATTCTCTGTAAGCTTTCTTCTCAAATTTTATCCGTCGAATGTGGGAAACGTCTAAACGCTTGCGATACAGAAAAATATACAGGTGATAGATTTAAATAATTCAATTATTTATACTTATACTATTTTCTGCGTGGGGTTAAATTGAATCAAGACCGTAAATAAACAAGATCCATACATTCCTTTATTATTAATAATTTTACTTTATTTAGATATGGATTATTCATATTTATATAAAGTGGAATGCTCGGATTAAACCCCCGCGATAGTTGAATCGCTGTGGAAGATATTAATATACAATGTTTCCAACGTGGCTTTTAACTCCGAATGACAGGGGAATTGTTTGAATTAGAAATTCCAGGTAGCACACGCTATTGCGTTTATTTAATAAATTATTCATACTTTTATACGTATATCGGTGATATATTGATAGTCAAACGAGGTTTTTGATGTATACGGGGAAACGAATTGCGTACACACGCGTGCTTCTCCAGTTATTTCTCCGTGAGCCTAAAGATAAATAAAAATTCTATTATATTACTTATCATTTAGGCGATAGAGCGAGCCATACGTATTGTTGACGACGAAAATAAACGCGCGTTTCGTGCCGCGGATTCAGAATGCCATTTCGCTTCCGATTCAAAATCCGCGATCGCGATTGCGCGAGGTGCGAATTAAATTGCGTAAATAGACGAGAGGTGATTAACGGATACGCGCGTTTCGTCGCTCGTCCGGAAACTTAGGCCAAGATTTAAACATTAGTTTCGCGACAGTTTAATGTCTGCGCCTTGGCACGGCGCGCGAAACTACTCTGGCTACTAGATCTTCAGTAGCGATGTTGAAACCGAGGCTTATGACACGCTCGGATAAGCCGGCCGTATATTATAATGGCGTTTAATACCGCTCGTTGTCCTTTCCTCCCTGTCTTTATTATAATAATAAATCCGTCGTATCCGAAGGGAGAGCGTGGCGCGCCACGCGTTCGAGCCGTCCGCGCCGTCGTTTCTTAATCATGGTAGAATTAAGGGAGGATAGAAACTAAGTCCGAAACAAATAATCCGACGTGGAAGCTTATGACAGCTATAAGAATTAACAGGATGTTTAAAAAAATTTAACGCGAGAGGATTATGGCTCTTTCGTGTATGTTCGTCATCAATTGTTATCAATAGACAACCCTACGCATCATTAAAACTTCGTAACTGGAACACCTGTCGGACATTCACGCTCTCGGCGTTCCGTCGTCGGCGAATTATGGCATTCGTAGTTTTAAGTAGATTGACGGGACGAGGAGCGCCATAAAAAATAGGATATAAACCTTACGATACGATCGCCGGCGGCGAGAAACAATTATAACGTCGAGCACGCGCCAGCCAATGCTGCGAATGTCGTCAAAACTGTAATATGTTAAATACGAATGTTATTAGTGTTTTAACATACGAAAATGATAAATAATAATTTATTGTATTTGTCCTTCATATTTTTGCCACTCGTTTGACGGGAATTCTTGAATTATATACCTGATTTATCAATTGTTACAATCTCGCTTTTTTCGATGAAATCGCAATATCGCGGCGTCTTGCGGCGAAACTGAAGTGATAATTCCTCGTGTATATGTTACAGTAAAAGCATGAAGTAAATGTATGATTTCATGCTTTTACTGTGACATATAAATATAATGAAGAAAAGCGGGAGGGATAACGTTCCACGATTTTCGCGACAGCTGACAAATCTCCAAAAGTCCGCCGTTTATTTTCCCTCAAGAAGAGTTTCGGTGTATGCGTTCAATAGTGGTCCAACAGCTCTGCGGATCGCAGACTCGCTATCGAGCCATTGAGCCTCAAATCTCGGGAAGCTCGAGGCTAATTCGGAGCCGCGCGCGTAGCTCGTACGAGACCCGTGCGCGACGGCGCGCCAGACGCATCTTTACGAGAGCGCGACAGACACGCACGACGAGGAAAACGCGCGACGTCTCGGGGAACACCCGCGGAGACGGTGCGGAAGGTGGACGGAGGAGGACCAGCGCGTGGAAGAGGGAACGAAGAGAGGAGAGTCGCGCAGGCGCCGATCCAACGCGTGGAGAACGCTCGTCGTCCGCGTGGCGCGAGTTAGAACTCGACTTGGTGCTTTTAGTCTTGTCCCGTCCCTTCGTCCATCCTCGTCCTTGCCGGGCGAGAGAGTAGCCCCCGCGGCGGAGCATCGTCAGAGAGGAAGTATGCGCCCGGTGCCTGGACCGGTTGCGGCAACAAGGACGCGAAGTCGAGGGGGATTCCGCCTGATCCGCTGACCGAGCCGGCGAGCCGTTCGCCAGCGATGAAGAGGAACACGCGTCGCCCCCACGTGCCTTCCACGGGTTCGCAGCAGCGCGGCGAAGTGAAAGTTCATTGACGATGCTTCTGACAAAAGTCTTCAATGAGTATCTTCGACTAGAAGATCGTCTTTCCGGCGCACATCTACCCACGCATTCACGAAGATTGACATTTAAATTAAAAGGGAAAATGATAAGAAAACAATCTTCCCTCTGAAGATGTTGTAATCTGAAGAAAAATCTGGAAACTGTAGATTATCGAGTATCGATCGATGTGCCTGATTGCGACATGTCGCAGAAGATTTTATCCCGCAGGGAGATACTCTCGGCCGAGACGAATGACCCTCGCAACTCGAAGAGGAGCACCCGCGCTCTAAGTCGATGGCGCATTCTCGCCAGGGCGCTGACAGGCTCGCCGGAGCCGGTCGGCAGCGAGTCCGACGAGGAGGTGTCGGTGAGACGGTTCACCAGCTTCGGCCTGCTCAAGTGCGCGCTGCTGGAGAACATGCTGACGGACGGCGAGTCCAGCTGGTGCGAGTACTCGACCCAGCTGGACGGCCGGCCGTACAACGTTCAGATACGCAGGATAAACAAGTGCTTCACGGCGAGCGAGCTGATCGGCTTCAACAATACCGGCAACGTGTGCGTGTGGCCGTCCGAGGAGTGTCTGGCTTACTATCTGCTGAGGAATCGCGGCCTGTGCCGGAATCGGAACGTCCTTGAACTCGGCGGCGGGATGAGCTGCCTGGCCGGCGTCCTCGCCGCCAAGTACTGCAATCCCAGCACCGTCACCCTCACGGACGGCAACGTGACCAGCGTCGACAACGTGCGCTGCATCGTTGCCCGAAACGACATGGCGCATCTGGTGGAGTGCGGGGTTGTCCAGTGGGCCCAAGCCGCCCGAGCCCTTCGGCAGACGGCGGCGATCAACGGTAACCGCGTTAAGGTGAATGTCCAAATTCGATCTTGAAGGAGCGGTCGATGGTCCGATGTTATTCTCGAAGCTATTAAAATAGCGCGTTGAAGCCCCGGTGTCGGCAAACAGGCGGGAATTAATGGAAACAGCGTTAAGAGGATCCTTCACACGTTGCAGAGCTCGAAGTAGATCAGGAATCATACCTTGAATTACCTTCATAGTTCTCGCAGCTTCCGCGTGTTCTATAAAAAATTCATTTTTATTCAGATCACAGACGGCACATCGCATTATTTCGTCTTTGAAGTTGTATGTCATAAATACATTAATTCACCATCTTTATCTCTTCGGTATGAAACGTGTTTCCATCGCTTTTTAATAGATATTCCATGATGATTTCTATGAACAGAGAACTGCGGACGCATAATAAAATATACATAAAAAAAGCATATCATCCTCAAAGCGATATTGAAACGTGACGGGGATGCCTCAACGACGGTGCGCGGCTACAAAGAGGCCGGAAATTAAATATTGAAAATGTTAATGAGAAAAGCTCTTTTTTTAACTTTCTTATCGCGGCGGTCAGACGTTATAATGTTTATATTAAATAAAAATCCGGTCGTACCATATTGGATACCTAGAAAAATTTAATTATATCGTTAATTTGTACGATAATAGAACAATAATAGAAAATATTACGCGCTGGAATTTTTCCAATGAATCCTCAGTTCTTGAGCTTTGTACGAGTTCCGAGGATCTGCAGGTGACATTGGGAATCGAAGGGTGAGCCTCGTATTTCGCTAATCGCGGCAGAAGAATCGCACAGAATTCAACCTGGTCGCCGACCCCGCGGTCGAATATAATGCGTCTCGTAAACCCCGACCGCGACGTGATCCGCATCTGTAACGAGGACGACAACGACGAGCTCGCTAACCGTAATCAACGACGGATCATCGGATATCGACACGCCCGGTTTCGCGGTTGCACGTTCCGACAGCAATGCGCTGCTCGTCGCCACGATCAATGAGTCATCGCGGTCATCGCGAGCCGATGAATGGAAAAATTGAGGTCTCGCCGGCCGGGGGAGGCGTAATGCATCAGTCGGGAATCGCGATCCTTAGAATAGACGATCGATGAGCGACAATGATCCGTGATCGCTCGACCGAAAAACGGCTCGTACTTTCGCGATAACAGAGTTGGCACTTTTAAAGGAATTTCCCGTAAATCGGAAAAGTTTGAGGACAAGAACGATTCTGAGAGATTGGCAAAATAATAGAAGTGTGATCAATTTCTTTTTATAACGTACGATATCTATAAAATATCCTGTAAAATAGACGCCGTGAAAAACGTATTTCTTATGGAACACGTGCTATGTTATTTGAGTCACGTAACGAAGACGTTATCGTAGCATGTTTCAAGATGTCATACTAATGTAGCTGTCACTGCTTATCTGTGAAACATTTTAGAATATATATGTGCAAAAAAAATTATGCTATATATGAGTTTTTTTTAAACAACCAATTTAATTCAGATTTTAGATGATAAATTAATATCACAAATTTATTTTAATGAATCTAAAGTTTCTCACGGATAAAAATTTATCTTATTTTTTAACGCCTTTAATTATATATTGTTATTACATTCTAATATTGCTAATCTTTCAATATGTTTTATAACATAAGTAAAACACTGAAAAAGTCAAAATCCCAAGTAGCTAGAAAATATGTATTTGATGTCTGTATTCTTCTCGATACGTATCGCAAAGAACAGCCACATGGGAGCGTAAAGAATCCCCCCGCGTGATCCTCGTGATGCTCGGTTCAAATATATAGACACACCATTCGGACATTTCCGGCTAAACCTCAGCTCCATTTCCGGTGGCCTCTATAATGTAGCCTCTGTGCTCTTCCGGTAGTTCGCAACGTTCCGCGCAATTGACATCTTTTTCGTCGGTAGATTTCCGCTTGACTGGGGATCGATCGAATTTCCACCGGCGAACCAAAATCGAAGATCATTCGGACGATCGACCGAGATTAATTGCAAAAACGACCATTCGACTTCGTTCATCTATTTACACGAAAAACCACCGTCAAATTATCTGAGAAGTTCGACGTTGAAAGGTCGAACGTTTTTATCGCATCCGTTTTCTGGTAGTCTTCTTTTTAATACGATATTGCAGATCATTGATTTTATTTGATGTATCCGCGTCCGTGGTATTTAAATAATAAGATAAAAGTATTCGAGCGGTAGTTATTTTATTTATCAAGTCGAAACCATAAAACGCATCGCGGATAAGCTTGACCGAGGTATACACATCCAGCAATTTATAATCCGGCTTGTTCAAGTCTTTCCTTACGCGAAAGACGAATATTGTCCTCAGCAGATTCTTTTGCAATAAAATACAATATTCTTTCATAATATTTCGTATAACTGTAACATCGACTTACAAATTTATATAATTTTCCTTTAATTCTTTAAACTTTGAAGACAGAGATTACTAACAAAAATTTATTTTTAAAAGTTTGAAAGATTGTTTTATCTGTTAAATGCACGAATGTGATCGTTCTTCAGACTTTACACGATTTCAATCGGAGCAATACGCATATTCCGAGTCGAGATTCGCGAATACGTTAATTCGATCGCGTATCTCAGCCGCCAGATTGATATCTGGACTCTCGATTGTGATTTCTCGATGTATAGACCCGGACGGCCGACGACGACGAGGACGCTCGACTGCCGTCGGGTCTCTACGACGTGATCCTGAGCGCCGACTGCCTCTTCTTTGACGACGCCCGTCTGGACCTGGTGGAGACGATCTACGGCTGGCTGACCGACGACGGGGTCGCCCTGGTGATGGCGCCCAGGCGCGGCACGACATTCCAGAAGTTCGCCGAGGCGTCGATCAAGCGCGGCTTCATAGCGCGCCAGACCGAACGGTACGACGACCAGGTGTGGTCGAGGCATCTGGAGCTGCTGGAGAACAGTCCAGAGTACTGTCCGGATCTCCACTACCCGGTGCTGCTGGAGCTCACCAAGCAGAAGAAGACGCCGCCCGGATGATCGGGCTCGATCGACAAGGACGACGAGGACGACCGACCGGACGAGAGTCTCAGCGAGGAATAAAAACATGTTTCTGAAATTCTGAACATGTTTCTCTTTTTTAAATATGTATACGCTTCGCTCGCACGCGCGATTATAGAATTATTACGAGGGAAATGAATGTATCGCTTCCGAGAGATGAAGATGCGCTGTAATGGGATGTAAAGATGCATAAAGCTGTCTTTATGTCGCCCAGCAATGTCAAGGTCGATTTTTTATTAGTGCGTCGTCTGATGAAACGTTTAGCGGTCACATTCGCTCGCAGATCGATCTTCCGCTCGTACGCATCGTTCCACATCGTCGCTGCTATCGGAAAAGTTTCCATAAGGGAAGTATTATGCGCAACGTGCGAGAATCGCTCGCCGAGCTCTCTTTAACATGCCTGACCTTCCCTCCTTTCCCCATTAATTAACCCATGGATGTTTTACGGTGGATACCCGACATTTTATGAATGAACGCGTATCTGAAAGTACAAATGTTAATTATATTCGCGCTCTTAATATCGCATATATTTACTTGAACTTAATTACGTACGATCAATTTGTGTGTAGACGTATTTATTTAAAGGCGCGCCTCAGTAGCGCGAATATTTGCAGCAAATAGGAATGCGAAACGGTACAGCGAGCCATAATCCTCCGCTTTAAATTAGTTTAAAATATCGTAGAGCCCGCAGATATTATTCTCATTCGCAGCAGGTGAAACTTCTGGCACCACTTTGCACGCGGCATATAACGGGAAATAGGAAGCGAGCTTCCAAACGGGCGAATATAGAAAGTTTCGAATTATTGACTTCTACGATGGAGGAAGAATGTCGAACTTAAAGTTATCTTGGAAATATTTATGTTCCGATATATACGTCGGACGACAGAGATTACGTTACAGAAGATAGGTTCTGAGGCAAAGTTTTCGAGGATTAATCGATCAACGATTCAATTATTCATCGAGTTGATATTAATCTTCGAAAAAAAACCTGTTTATAAATTACAAACGATTTCATCTGATTAGAACGTGGCTCTTGATAGAAGGGACTTTTCTTAGGCGTACCTGATTTTATATTGAACCGGGTTATAAAAACGTCGGAAGAGCGATCGAGTTTCGAGTTTCGCGCATCAAAGTGTCGTTTATAATGCGGCAACGTGATACTGGCAATTTTATCAATCAATTAAAACGTCGATACTAAGTAGATAATAGCTCGAGCAATCTCTCGAGTTCCTCGTTCTTCGCAGCCGGCAGGACCAATTGTATAGACCGGAGTTAATGTTTAGATACAACCGAACCATGACTCGTAGACTGCGAAGTCACTTCCAGGGAGTTCTATTCATCGCAAAACTGCGTTAAAAGACATCTCCGTATTCTTGAGTAAGAAAGGAAATATCAGTGTGTTACAGTTTACGCTATTTTGGGTCCAAATACGAAGCGAAATCGGACTTGGAGCGGGATATTGTCGGTTCAGCGATTTAATGCTGGATCCGAACACGCTAATGAAATATCAATTATTATGATCGTTAACTGTAAACAGATATAGATTGTTGCGATCGATACGCCGTAGCTGCAGGATAAATTTAAGGAGACAATTCTTACGCGAGTCGAACTTTGCCTTATTCGCGTTACATAGTAATTTATTTATTTATTTAGGCAGCGTTTTTGCGTTTATATCCTTGCGACGAAAGAATTCTCGTGAATTTTCTAAGTATCTCCGATTATGAACCTGTTACCTCAACGGACCAATATTTATAGGCATATATAGTTAAGTCTAGTCAGAATTACCAAACGTACTTCCATTATTACGTATTTTCTTACGTAGTCCAAGTGTCCATGAAATCTCTTTACTCGCGTAAAAAGGGAATTATAATAAATTAGAAGGATTTAGTTGCAAATGTTATTATAGAGAATGGGTTTTTTTTTTTAATAGAAAAATCGATACCTCTTTCTAGCGTCCGATCGTTTTTGTACCGCAGTTCGAGATTAAAATCAGCGGACACGTTTTCCCGAGGTTGCTAATCCACGTGGCTAGACTGGAGAATTTATGGACCCTTTGCGGCCCTAGAGGGCCATTTGTGTACACGTGCATTATGCACGAGAGAATCTCCATAGTAATAAACTATTTTCACTTAAAAACGTCGCGTTTTTCCTCGCGTCGCCTGTACCTCCCTCGGACAGAGATAATGCGGTTGTCACGTTGCAGTCGCGTCGTGTGACGACGCAAACGCCGTTGACAAATCTACAACGACGCGGTCGCGCGTCGTCACGTCAGAATAAATAATGACGTTTAGCATACGTCAAACATCCTGCCTACCTTCCCGTCTGTCGTGCAATAGCCATGTTTCTCCACCTCGATTCCGTCCATATGATCGATTTTATATGCCAGTACCTTCCTTCCTCTTTGCCGTACAATTTGCCAGGACCTGCAATTTTCGCTGGACTTCGGTCTGCCGAAGTCCTGGATTTCTTAGGATCGAGTTAGACTTAGGTGTTTCTATTTTAATAAAAAAGGCACTTTGGCGCAGCCCTGATCTCACGTTGACAAACGACATTACGTAACTCACGTCCCAGAATGAAGCAAAATATAAAAATGATAGAATATTTTAATATAATGTACAAATATAATAATATAATAGACAAAAATAAGGAAAATATTAATAATAAAATAACATGATATATAGATAAACGAAGTATTTAATAACTTTATTAGGAAGCACTAGTCAACATTCGAGCGGAGTAAAATGTCAACGTTTAAGGTAAAATACAAACCTTGTTCTACATTTTTACTTTAAGGCAAAACATCGCACGGTCAACTTTAATGAAATTCGGAATTGACGAAACGAAGCAGAGTTATAACGAAAACTTGCTCTTGATTAAGTAACAAGTCACACGATTTGCTAATTTTGCCAATAAATATATCTCGATTTGCTCGAAGGTTGCATCCGATTGCTGGAATCTAAAAATGAAAGCCTCGACAGATGGTTGCGATTAGCATCTGTGTTCCGTGACGAGTGATATAATCAAACAAATTACAGGAAAGCAAAATCAATGTCGGGAATATCTCGGGGAGTTCAATACCGTTCGCCGGTTTATTTTATTATTCGACGAGGCACGTGTACATATTTCGGTCCGGCTTGACTGCATATGTTATATATTTCGTGCAATGCGCGACACGAGGCTGTAAATTCGATCGCTCTAAATTCCGCGAGATCGACGGAAATTGCGCGGAAATCGTCTCTCGCCGATCGTATCTCGTAACGTTCCTTATTTTACATCGGCGTTAACAATTTTTTTACACATGGCACAAGCCAAGAAGATGTCTTTAAACAAAATCGCAGCTCACACAAACCTCTGCAACTTATAAATTCACATCGTTTAGTAGTGGTACGGATGTTGTTTTTCATTCAAACGTTTAAACGGACGCTGATCGACATATATATCGCTAGCTATAGTTTTCAGCGACATCAAGACGTCGATATAGACGTTCATTTTTAATATCTAACATACGCTAATCGCGGTATAATTCAGACTCGACTCGCGCTATTTTTATGTCCGAGCGTTTTACATTGTCGTTTATAGCAGTCGTAATTATCCTCGCCGTCGCGGTGGAGCTATAAAAAGGAGGACGCGTCAGCGATTCGTTTATATAATTAGACACTTTCCCCGTCGCGGCCTCATTAAAATCAGTGTAACTAAGCGTGCGTGCGTGCGCCCCGGGTTGATCGATCGCGGTAAGTAAATTTCCATTGCGTCTCCTCGAAGCGGCTCCCACACTGCCGGGAATAGATTTTTCGCCTGGCTGCGAGATTTTTTTAAGTGCACTTGTCGCACGAGCGCAGAGGTCTCCCGCAACAAAAAAAAAACAGCTGATCGGGATCGTACCTCAAGGAGACTCTCAAGCATCACCTCGCTTCGCAGAAAGCTCCGAAATGAATTAATCACGTCGATTATATCAGCCAACATCCGCCTACATTTAATCTCTACGTTTATCGACAGCTATTCAATCTTCAATGAAGAGAATGGACGTTTCAATTATTACGTTGCTGAATACGAAATTAATTTGACGTAAGAAATAATTTCGAATTAAATATCACACGTGAAAAACCCGCAAAAGGAATTTACAAACCCGCGAAAAAACAGATTAACGTTTTGGGGGGTAACGTTATCCTTCTTGGAATAATAAACACGGTGATAAAGCAAATAGTATTAAAGCCAGGATAATGGTTTTCATATATAATATAATCGCGGATACGATACGTGTGCTTTGTAAATTAAGTTTGTTCAAGGGGAAGCATCGAAGCTCGCAGAATCACGTCTTTTATTAGGTATCTTTCATTGAAACAATATAGTTTCGCTCGTTTTCACACGCGTAGTCCCCGATCTGTTAATTAGCTAAGGTATATTATCAAAAAATTCGAGGCTGAAGATGCGAGAATAACGTGAGTATTATTAACGTGCGAAACGGGATATCGCGAAGAGATCTCGATAAGGAGGTCAAAACGTCTGCAGGGAAACTGCAACGACTTCGCCACGAGCTCGTTAGAAGAGCCGTGTATTTTATCGGACGACGACGACCAGGCTTGCTTTTTTCCTTCAAACTCGATGCAAATAATCCGAACTTAAGTTCGCGGCCACTCTTTGTCTGCATAATTCTGAGATAAATTCGCCGCCTCGAAACTTTTCCGCCGATGTCTTCGCCCTGGCACTGCAACGTTAAACAAACGCTCGCTGCTTTATATTACCGCCGACAGATTTGGCGAGAAGTAACGGCCGTCTCTGTATAGTCTGTATGATTTTATATATTTTACGACGCTCGTAGAGCGTACCATGATAAATCCGTCTCGTACATCGTAAGCAGACACTTGACGAATAAGTACTTTTTTGTTTTGTATCTATTTTATCGGAGTAAATTACGCTGAAGCGAATGACGAAAGCGTAACTGAAAGTTACTTCAATTAATTTTCTTTAGAGAGTTGATATTGAAGTAAATTTGAGAGATCTGTCAGTACCAAGTCACTTAATTTTAACAGCTATAACATTCCGAGTGTGACTGGTGTTTAGAGCCGCAATTTTCGTAAGATGGAAGTGTCTCACTTTCATTATCGCAAAGTGCTTCTTTTTCCGGCGCCCGTGCGTCTGAAATTCGTCAAAGAGAAAAAAAAACTGGAACGACGATGACTGGTAGGAAAATAGTCCCTAGTGTTTGGCAGCGAGCGGTGCCAATATTTATTAGTAAGACGGCCGCTAATGGGTCCAAGTCGTTTTGTTGCGGCGCGCGAACGAAAACGATCGCGGGCCTCCGCGTTCTCTTGCAAAAGTATCGCCAGGAAAAGCGGAACCTGACGGGCGCGGAATTGACGTGGCCGAGCGTGGCACGTGATGTAACGTGCGTGCCACGTGTTAATAATATTTATCCCGACATTGCGCCGTTTAAACGCTCGTGCAACACGTACAAACGGCAGCCCTGTTGAAATTCTCCAGAAATAACAGCGCGGCCCTTCGACGAGAGCGACCGCCGATTATTTTACGACCGTCTTTGTTTCGCCCTCGCGCCTAGACGGAGCTAATCGGGCGAGCTTTATATACCTATACGAAAGGAGCCGGGCGTGGAATGTTTTTTTTAGGAAAAAAGTTTTGTCTTATCAAAACTTGAACTTTCTCTTTGTCAAAACTTTAATTTAAAATTTTAGATCCTTATGAAAATTACAAGCTTGGTGATAAATTACTCGTGAAGTAATCGCGAATCAAAATGAGTTTTTTCTGACAAACATTTCGCGCTCAAGCTCGCGAGATACTTTATTTAAAAAAGCACATTCGCCGCTTCTATACCCTGGATAGAGCTGAGCGAGGCCCATAAAAGGGCCATCGTAGTTGGCCGTTCTCGGATGCCTCGTTCCGAGGTGTGTCGTTTCGAGTCGTTCCGTGAACCGTGGGTCAACTTACAATTTCGGTGCGAAACTATTTTCCACCGAGTATCCCTTATCTCGCCCGAGAGTTTTCCGTCGTTATTGTAAATTCCGTTGTGCCGCGCACGTGGGAATTCCGGGGGACGTTGCAGGACATCGGATAAACCGCCGAGCTCATCCCCGTCGAGACGGCAATTTATTCGGATACGAAATTACGCTCACTGACAATTTCGCCGGAAAATGGAATAACCGGCCAACTGAATTTGCATGCAAAAATTACCGCAGCGCCCGGGCAGATCGCAATTTGCCAAAAACAAAGAAAGTACGTGCGATTCAACGCGAATGAATTTCGAAAGAATAATCCACCTATTTCTAAAAAAAAAAAAAGACGATTACATCTTTAATAGCGGTAAAGTCGGGTAAAGTAATAGCAGGTAAGACGTTTCAAACAAAATGTATAAAGTCTCGTTTGCGTCTAGTTATCAAGCGTTTCAGAAGCTTTTCGCAGCTTCCCTGATTTTCCGGGATATCTCTCAGCCGCGTATACGAATTCCCGTCGGTTTCCAACGACTCTCGTGTCCCGGCACTCGCCGTCATCTCCACCGCTGATTAATTACCCGTCCGTCATTTCGGATGCTCAACGGAATTCTTCGTTCCCCCTCGACGCGGGGGAAAATCGTGCCGAGGGTAATTTCCCGACGAGTGCATGCGTCACACTGTTTGCATTGTTACGACCTACAAACCTAGATTAAACCCATATATCGACGCGGCGCGATTGCGTTGTGGGGGCGAAATGACATTAAGTGACGTTGATTGTTATCAATGAATGCGCGACGATGCTCGTCAATGACACACACATTATCTGGATATATCGTTCATCATTTCGCCCGCGAATTTTATGTCTATACGTGTCGCCGATGCGCTGCACGGTAAAATGAATACGGATGCACCTCGATGATGCAATCTTGCGTGACACACGAAGGTATTTTGTCGAATATCGGTCTGAATCTAATTTTCCTTTCCCCCCTTCGTCTACTCTTCGGCATCCTCGATCATAGATATGCTTTTCCTTTACAAGTTATAATTTTAAAATCGATCATCCGGAGCAAGAGTAAGGGAGAGTTTAAATCAATTTCAAATTCTAGATAGGGGCTTATTGCAGAGAATTATTTGCATGCGGATTGTTCAGAAAAATTCTTTTCTATCTTCTCAAATTACTTTTGTTTATTG